TATATATTACCCATAAATTGTTTTCCGCTCAGACAGAAAAACATGGTGGGAGAAAAAAACATTTCTAATGTTAATCGTCTTTTTGCGGAACTTTTGGTTTTAACATTTTAGTTCTGCTTACATGGAGTATTTCAAATAATGAGACATCAAAGCATCACTCACTTGTAATGTCATAGACTACCACAGCAATAGTGGAGTCACGGATGTAGCTGGGAATGAGACTGCGGAACCGCTCCTGGCCTGCTGTGTCCCAAAGCTGCAGCCGAACCTGCTGGTACCAGGCCAGGAAGAGCAGAGAGAAAGAGAGAGAGAGAGAGAGAGAGAGAGAGCAAGAGAGAAAAGAAAGGAGGAAACTGTCCTTTAGAGAAAAGGCCATTTCTAGAATTAACTGTATGCAGCTCAGTCTGAGACACTGACGCCGACCTTGTAATCTTGCCCCAATTTCCAAACACCATAGAAGTTGGCGTTTCTGACTTTGTAGATAATGTGCTTGCCTAGAGATTCTGGTACTCCCAAAGAGCTCTAGGTTATGGCTACTACCTGATTGCTGATAGCGGCAGCTAACAAGTAATACAGAGCTGGTCTTCCTGATTTACCCAGGATTATATATGGGGTCTCCACAGGGCTCCTAGCCTAAAGCATCTCAGATCAAAGCTTTTTGGGCACTTCCCACATGACAGACATGCAATTCCCTCAGCCTAGACACCCCATAGTGAAACAGCATCCATTCTCCAGCATCAAGCATCCAGAAGATGGCAACGTGGATTTTCATGCAAGATTAAGGCAATCAATAACATAAGTTCCAGCAGAAACAAAAGCAAATGCTACACACTGTAGGCTTCATGTGACACAAAGGGCATCGGGTTCTCCCTTGCCGATAAGCACAGGAGTCAGAAACAATCACAAATGGTATGAGAGGCACAGATTGATCTCCAGAACTATTCCCAAACACAAACTGACCTATTATATCTGTTAGCTCTAAAGTCTGGCACCTGCGTATTTGAAACAGTCAAATTGCCTATTTGAATGGTCAAAACATGCCCAACTACCACAGCAAGTGCTAAATAAATGCTTTTCACAATTGGGAGTGATAGCATTTCCTTCCAAATCATTACCTCACACGGCTAGCTGTACAACTAGCACTACGCTGCCAGAAAACAAGACTGGTGTTGGCATTCTCAACAGGCACGAGTTTCATAGGAGGGCAGGTACTGGTTCCCAGCTTAATTACGTGAATCGGTTAGATGTGCTCACAAAGCCACTTGTTCAGCAAGGAGGGAGAGCAGCTGTTTATGCACAGAACAGCAGTTAATAAGGCAGCCTGCAGGAGACTGGCTACAAGGGAGAAAGCAGTTTCAAAAGACCAGTAATTGGCTTGTTTAGGAGATAAGTAGAAGCTGGACAGAGCACATGTCTGCAGAATGTCTTGCTACAAGCAGATTCAAAACAACATTGTATCTACATCAGGGTATGTAGATCCCATGCCCTGGGGCTTAAAGAAGATTAGGTCTTACAGTTAAAGCAATTAGCTTATGCTTCATTTTGAAGGCAGCCTTGATTACAGTAGCAAAAGTCAGGACTCCTCACTACTCCAGAAAACTCAAGGTGACAAACTCCAAACACCTGGACAATACTGTACCCACGCTGGCAGATCAGACTGATAATGACGGCTTTGGGCTCTTGCCCTTCACAACAAGCTTCCGCATACTCCGCAAGACATTGCTGCTACACCAGGCTATTCACCCAGAAGTTTTACCAAGGTGGTGATTTACATGAGAATGTTCCTTCAATAACGCAAGAAAACTAAAAGTCTCTCAATCACTACGAACAGAACAAAGAACAGTAACAAGAAAAAAAATGAAATGATCTGAAAAGATCAGACCATTACCAAAGTATGATGAGATCTGCTACCACTTAATTATTTTGGACATGTCTGGAAGCTGTTAAGAACAGCCTAGACTGGAAAGATTTTTCCACCTGCCTGGATAAACAGCATCCTCTACCAACAACAGTGTGGAGAAAAGATGCCAACGTACGCAGCCTGCCACACTGCCTCACCTAGATGAGTTCCCAGTGTAAGTCATCATGTGCAGATCTCAGCGCTCCTCAAACAGATCACTTCAGTTTTACATTAGTTTGTACCATACCAGAAATCCTCCCAGAATCAAGTACTTAAGCTACAGGATTGGGAGAAAGGCCATGTTACTATTTGCCCTTGATATACAAGATCAATCATAACAGAAGTTTATTATTTGTTAAGCACTTCTGTTAACTGAAAAAAACCACCCTGGTCCATAAAGCCTCACTATAATTTAGTGACAGAATAAAGGTGGGCCAAAGGTTTTTCACCCGGGCTACATTCTCAGACTTTGTTCAAATGGTGTTGGCTCACTGGTATACATCCTGTCTAGATATTTATGCTGATCCTATAGCTTAACTGAAAAAGCCAGATCAGGTGGAATCAATAACAAGGACTTACTGTATTCCTGTCTTCATACCTTATACAAAAACATTCAAGCCAAAAGTTATAGAGAATTTCCCTCTAAGCTTGTTTATTCTTTAAAAATTATGGTAGTTACATCTCTTCTCTTTCAAAAGCTCTCTGGTTACTCATACAAATCACCACCTCTCTTCTTCAGTGAAATGGCAGTCTTAAAAGCTATGTAGCACCTTACTAGGATTCATTTAAATGGGTGGTTTACTGTTTTACCTACTCTGTCAGTACTCCACCCCTTTGGTATCTGAAGTTTTTAGTTGTATTATCTCTCCAGTTACCCACAGAGGAAAAAAAAACCCTCACTTTGAGGTTTAAAAAAAACCAAAATACCTCCAAACCAGGAAAAGTATAAACCTCTCCAAGGGCTACCAATCACCTTTCATACCAATCAGCAGACACACATGAATTCACAATCCCTATTCACCTACCCGCCAATCCTCTGCGTATCACTTCCATCATTTGAGCTTTGAGCAGACCAGGGTTAAATAATTGCTCAATGTCTGTATTATGGGATGGAGTTACCCCTGGTTGTGGGAGAAGACTCTCAGCTACTTCCCATCAGCCCATGAAACACCTACAGTCCTGGGGCCAACGGCCTACCTTAGCTTCTTTCAGATACCACCGCCACCACTTCCAATGCATAAAAGGTACATGTTAAAAGCAAGGTCCCTGCAGACACTCCAGCTCAATACCTACTTGTAATGTCAAAGACAATGACAGTCACAGCAGAGTCACGGATGTAGCTGGGAATGAGGCTGCGGAACCTCTCCTGGCCGGCTGTATCCCACAGCTGCAGCCTGATCTGGGAAATGGAAAAGTGTAGGGGAAGGGGGAAGGGGAAGAGCAGGAAAATGGAAAACAAAACCAAAACTCAAGTGAAATAAAAAGAAAAAAAATGCAAGGCAAAAATAATGCAACAAAAGGAAAGTTAAAATGGAACAGAAATGTGAAAAGAGCCAATGGCACTTCTAACTGCATTCTCGCAATAACCTCAGCCTAGCATGTCTGAGAAACCTCCCTCCCTCCTTAGACCCATTAATAACTCACACATATGATCATGATCTTCCATGTAATCATAAAATGAAGATATCCCTAAAAAAATACCTTCTCACACCACTTGCTAATGAGGGACTTACGCATACACACCTCAGTGCATCCTGCCATGTCAGGACTCTGGCTATAACAGCCACATAAGCAAACTGCAGCCTACGGCAAGCTAGATGCAGTCACTGCTAAACAGAAGGACTACATCACCCCACTACTGATGAATCCACTGGAAAGCCTGATGTCAAGTACTGAAACACAGTAGTGAGGTACAAGCCAGGACAGCAAACACCCTCTAGACTGGCTTATCTTCTGCTTAAATCCAACAAGTCTGGGAAGATATCAAGACTCAGAAAAGGAACTACTACTCAGTCTTTCAAGAAAGAGGTTGTAGCTGTAACATGGAACTGGCAGCCTGACAGTCAGGAATGAGGATGGGGCTCCTTGTGGCCCCCGTTCACTTAGTGCCACAGCTCCCAATGCACTGACAATGTCCTGGAAATGGCACGCTTACAGCTTCCTTCTGTGGGAGGCTACAGGAGATGGTTTTGAAGAACTCAACTCCACATATATTTGTCCCTTCTGCTGGCTAGTAGATGCTACCCAGGCCACATTTAGAGCTAAGTGATCTGGCACAGGTATAATTTCAAGATACATTATTTGACATAAGGACATATCAAATATGCCAAAGCATATGCCACAGTTAGAGGCTTAGCATTCTTCATTTCAAGCCCAACAGTCCAAGCTTATTGCAAAACACAGTATTAGCCACATCTGAGAAGTTATTTCAAAGTCTGAATTTTTCTAGCCTGTGTGCTTGTATTTCTCCCTTCTCTTACCTACAGTCAACACCTCTCTGTTATTTAAACAGGCTTTATGGGCTCTGTGGACCACTTATGTGATCAGTAAATCAAACAGTATATCCAACATTGGAAAGAAAATGGTATTTTCTGGATAGCAGGCTAGCGGGTGAATGACATCCTGACCTACACAACCACAAGAAATCAAGACTACACTGCTGAAAACGGCACACAGGCATTCCAACTTGCCTTCACAGGTGTCAAGCAGCATTCCCAAGATCTTTTTCTTCTGCTGCCACTACCATTGAAGAATGTTATTCAAGTTGTTTCTCCCAAAGAAAGATTAAGCGAGATCTTTTCTAATAGCAAATACTTAATTGGTAAGATGGCAGAGAAGCACTCAGGAAACTCACCACACACACTGGGCTGAGACTTCTTCAGAAGCAACAGACCCAAAGCAACACAAAGGACTTTCATTGCACCATTGGCCCCTTCCTCCCCCAACAGTTTCATACTTCTCAGCCAGTAGTAAAACTAGCAAAAAGGCAAGTACTAGAAAACCATGAACTAATGAAAAGACAAATACTGAAAGACAGGAAAGGAATGTGAGGGATCTCTTTATGCAAAAAGGAATCTCATGTAAGCTAAATCCAAAATTACTTCATTAACACTAAGCGAGAACTGTGTTACAAAAGGAGACTTTCTACAAGGAGGAACTATGCCACCACTGGTAATCTCTAATGATCTCAAGACTTGGAACTGCCTAGGGTCTGCTCAGACCCATTTATACTGACAATCCCAGGGGCAGAGCTGCAAATTCTGGGAGCAAACTACACCTAAGGGAGACAGCCCATAGCAGACAGCCTATTTCCTGGGATGTAGTCATTAGCTTGCCCAAATTTTGCAAAAAAGATTTTGACTTCATTCTAGAGTTATGAGATAATAACAAGTATGAGAAACAGGAGTGTGGGTCAGCGATTTGATTCAACAATGGCTGAAGGTTGCTGTGGGATTTCAGCAGCCATTGGAGGAACGGCCAGGCGAAACAGCACACACATCAACTGCTGCTCCCCTGACTGCAGTTGCCATGCTATCACACAGATGCCTCACTTACCGTGCGATCTTCAAGATACATTGTTTTTGACAGGAAATCAATTCCAATGGTCGCCTGAAAAGAAGAAAAACGTTAGTAACTGCAACTTGCCTTACAGCATCTGCAAATCAGATCTTTCTATACAAACTCTCAGAAATGTTCACAAACTTATAATTAAGCTGTTGAAGTCATTTGCCTTCAATATAGTTGATAAAAACATAGCAATCTGGATCTCTGCACCATCTTAATTTCACATCATTCTTCCAACACTTCTCAACTGCACAAGAACCTCAGAGCCTGGATTTTAGCCTCATACATTCATGCATCTTAACGCAGATCATATCTAAACTGGCATCTCTTTCTGCTCTACTGCAATTCAGTCTGGAAAGAACTATCTTCTTAAAATAACCAAAAGGTGGAGCAAATTACATATATAAATTGTGGGTAACTGCGCTGAAAGCTAAAAAGCAATGTTTATTCAGGGCTTTCCATTTCAGAACGTGCTTCCTTTCCAGTGACATTCAGAAGCTTCATCTCCCAGGCAGTTCTTTCTGTAAGTCTCCTTCCATTCACGTTTCCATTGTTATACAGCAATTCCAGTACAAAGACACTTAAAGTAATTTACCAAGTTAGATGCACTCCCAGGCACTTAAATCAAGCAGATGTCCTAGGCCATCATAACCCTGGGAAACAGGAGACAGGCTACTGATGTAACAGATTTGAGCGTTTTAGACAGATTACCTCCAGTCTTAAACACAGGCAGCTTAACATGTTCTGGAAGGTCTCCATCAGAATGTGAACCATTTAACATTAGAAGAGACAACAACAGTCAATTTCTGTAGTTAGCACTTGTTTCTGGGAGTCCTATTTTCTGCAGCCAGGACAGGGTTTATAACAACTACAATAAGCAGACAAATCTACAAGAGCACCTTACAAAAATCAGGAAAAGAAACACAGATAGCACAAGAAGATCCAGTTCCAGTGAATGACTTGTCCTCAAGAAAACAATCTTATCTTCCTTTTCCAGCTTAAAATTACCCCAACCTAAACCATTAACTCTTTCTGGCCTGAATTAAAAGGTAACACCCTTGTATCATCTTCCTTAAAGATATTTGGTATTCCCTTGAAATACCGCTAAGTGCTTTTGATGCAAATAACTCTTCATGAAACCTTCAGGCCTCTTACACATCTTCAGCTCTTCATCTGCAGCCTCTTTATCCCTACCCTGCTCTTTCCCTGCTAAGATCTCCCTGGCAATTTCTATCTATAGTCTTTCAGTTAAAAAAAAAAAAAAAGCAATAATTAAAAAAAATAGAGAGAGAATATACCATGGTGACTTTCTGCAGATTGATCTACGCACTCTGGACTCAGATGCTAGAGATCAAGAACCATCATAAGCATGTTTGTATCTTATTCTTTCCCTGTTTTCTGAGACTTCCATATCCATCGTCAGGCATCCTGACCATTGTCTTCTCTATTAGCCAACCCCATAAACCAACATTTGTCCCTGTTTTCCTCAAGGTTTCTCACACATCCAGACAGGATCTAAACCTTGTTTCTTTTTTGCACACTGTAATCCCTAACATCACACTAGATGCTTAGGCTCGATCGAGAAGTCTCGTCTCCATATCAAGGCACATGACAACCTTACATATGATATTGAAGTGACATCTCATGGTGAAACGTGCTTGCTCCTAACAGTTCTCACAGGCACACATTTTAATAGCAGGGAATTGTTTTACTGATATATATATATATATTAAAAAAAAAAAAGAAAAACAACAAAACCAACAGAACTACCACATACCTGGTAAGTATTGTCAAAACTGTCATACATAAACCTGGTGATCAGAGAGGTCTTTCCAACTACAAAAAAAAAAAAAAAAAGAGAAAAATTACTTTCAAGCAGCAGTGGAAAAAAAAATAACCACTGCTTTGGGTTATGCTGGTAGCGCTGATCTGAATGAACTTGCCGACCTAAGGATATTTCGCAGCAACACACTCCTGCAAAATAACCAGTTAAGAAATCCATTCACAAAATTATAGAAGTATGTTAAGCCAATCAATCTACATAGGTAAAAAATTCATCATAATGAAAACTTGGTCCTCAAATTAGGTACATTGTGATGCATGTGACAAAGAATTATTTGTTTGCTTTAAGCAAGTAATAAATCTGCTTTGTTACTCACATTTTGCTACTTATGTAATCACCAAGTCTTGGACTTCTAGACACAAACATCAAAACAAGACATGGTGCTGGCCTGGCCACTGTTCAGCTGCCTTTGGCTGGATAGAAAAGCCACACTCAAGACATGTTCTTTCTTCATAACAAGATTTTAGATACAGAGTAAACTTTGATGGCTTACTTAAAAACTTTAAATTTATGTCTCCAAATATTATCAAAAGACAAAGTGCAGAACTGACAAGAAATGAGACCCAAAGATAAGATCTCTGACTCTCTCTCAGGAAGCTGGAGGAAGCCAAGAAAAATTCAAAGGACACAGAATGAAGAGAAGAGGGAAAAGGAATAAACTGCATAGAAAGCTTTTGAAATTGTGAACACTGGAGAGGGTTAAAAACATGTTAGACAAATGTCTGTCAGCAGCAGTCAATCCCACCTCGGTAATGCAGCGGAATTAGACAACTTCTAGAAATTCCTCCAAGATCTACAGTTCTGGGACCCAGGAGGAGGTAAGCAGTAACAGGTCTAAAGAGAATAATACATCAAATACCACAATTTCAAGAAAAAGGTACCACTTATCCATATGTTATGAGGAAAGGGGTGTAAAAGGGAGGCAACTTCCAGGTAAAACACACAAAAAAAATGAAGACGTAAGGGAGGTAACGGCCACGCTATACACACAACACTGCTTTGCCATTCATTTTCTCTCTCCGGTACACACCACACACTCGGTGCTGACACAACCAGAGACACAACACACAGGGCGAAGCACCGCCCGCCCTGAGAGCCACCGCATTTCTCCCAGCCGCCAGCAAGGCCCAGCCGGCCCGGCCCAGCCCCGGCAGGCGTGTAGCCAGGCGGTGGAAACGGGGACCGGGCGCTCGCCAGGCCGGCGGAGGGATAAGGCCAAACCACAGCGGGACCGCCCCTCCCTCGGGCGGGAGCCCCGGCCGACTCGTTACCGCCTCTCCCCCGGGCAGAGAAAGGCCCTTAACGGCTCCTCACCGCCCGCCCGCAGCGTCAGGCCCGCGGCGGCTCCTCATCCCCCTCCCCCGCGGCGCCAGGCCCCTGAGGCCCCCCGCGGCCTGCTCCCCCCGCTCGCCGCCGCCGCCCCGCCCGCCGCGCGTCACTTCCGCTGGCGTCACCGACGCATCACTCCGCACCACCCCCGGGGCCGGAGGTTGCCATGGCGCCGGGCCGGCCTCTGGGGCCGCGGCCGGCGCTGGGGGCCTGCAGCGGGGGGCCCGGCCTGAAGCTGCGGGGCCCGGCCGGGAGCGGCCGCCGCCGACTTCTCCGGTGCCTCGCCCTCCCGCCGAGGCCCGCAACAGCCTGAGGCACCGACTGCCCGCTTCGAGCTCTCCCACGGCCCCAGGGAGGTCCCCGCGCCCCAGCACCACGACACGGAGCCTGCACCGGGCCACTGGGGCAGGGTTATTTATAAAGGTGTCACAGAGTATTGCATAACGCAGGCAAACAACAAACACGCTGGTGATGGCGCTCGGCCGGGCTGCCCTGCACCCTCCCTGTCCCCTCGCTGGCAGCCATGGGTGCAAGGAGGTGGGAGCACCGTCCTGCACGCAGTCAGGCTTTCCAATGTGGCGGTACCGGGAGGAGATGCAGTGGCTCCCACCACCGCAACCAGAGCTTGGAGTCGGTGCGAGGAGCCCAGGGGAGGAGGCTGTACCTAGGGGAACACATCGCACCGCACATAGAGGGCTGAGGTGTCTGCACCACATGTCCTGTGGTGGGGAACTTGCTACGGGTGTCTACGTCCCAAACTGGGGCGTGCAGGACCGGTGGCTGTCCGTGCAAGCAGGCAGCAGGTTAGCTTTCCTCTTTGTCAGCCTCCTCCTTCTCATCTTCATCGTCTTTTTCCCCCTTGAGTTTTTGGCGAGCGAATTCCTCAATGACAATGTCCTCCTCGCTGGAAGGGAGAGCAGAGTGTGGTGAGGCCATGGTCTGGCTGCCCGACATGCATCTCAGCGAAGAGGGCGAGATCCCTCCTAACACCCAAACCCTGCTCCTAGTAGGGGATGGTGCACAAATCCTGCTGGTGCTCGCCCTGGCACTGTCACCCCACACACTTCAGGGAACAGTGAGCCGTGGCCTAACCCGAGCACATAAATCCAGGACAGATCACTGACTCAGCTGCGAGCATATGTGACTGGAGGAGCTGGGTGAGAGCAACTGCAACTTTTGGTGTTGTTTAGGACAATATTTTGCATTGTTAAGGGAAAAAAAGGAAGGAAAAGAAATTAAAGTGGAGACAAAGAGATTAGTTACCTCCTTGCAAAAGGCAAGCAGCAGATGACATCAAGGGAGAGCCACAAAATGAAAAGTGGGGGAAGAAAATGGAAAAAAAGAGTCAGCAAAACCGATTCCAAAAGCCTGTGAATGTGAAATGACTTGGCAAAATCTACAGGGAGTGATGGTGGGGACAGGCCAAGACGTTTCCTCCTCTGGAAGTTTAAATATGCTCGCTGAGCTAGGAAACTGATAGGCTTTGGTGTGAAAGCTCTGCAGTTGCAGCCTGAGTTTCCAGGCTCCAAATCCCAGTGCTCGTGTCCCATTGCAGGGTGTAACCAGACACAGAAACAGCCTTTTGGGCCTTTGCAAGCCAGGGCCGGCTGCGGGGCTGGTTGGCGGCCGTGGCTGCCAGGCACAGCTGCCAGGAATGGGTTTGGCACGCTGCAGCTTCCCAGAGGGAAGCAACCCCAGCTGTGGCTTCAGCTGGAATAAGCTCATGTCATGGGAGGAGAAGAGGCCATGGGGGAGCATGCGGGGGCACGGGGCTGTGACCAGCACTGCTTCCAGCAGCTGAGGGACCGCAGCGTGCAGCGGATGGGGACCAAAGCCATAGGGGATGTTATGTCCAGTGGTGGCACTTGTGACTGTTTGCAGCAAGGGGGTTTGTAAAATAAGCCCTGGAAATTTGGAGAACATGTGCCACGCCCAGCATTTGAATCCTCCCAGCCCGTGACAGTGCTCCTGCTGCCTGTGCCACCACGGAGGGTGTCATGCTGTCTGCTGTGACATAGGTGCTCAGGACTTTGAGGCCTGGATGATTTAATCCAAGGACATAACCTCAATATGGAATGGGGCATCACATCCATCTGTGATGGATCTGTATAGTTTGTGTTAGAGGAAAGACTGGCTTGAGGTATAAGGAAACATCTCGTTACCTTGGCTTATCTGTTGTCCATTGATAAGCAAATCACAGGGAGGGAAGGATTGGAAGAGAGATACACATGCAGGTTAATACAGAAAGGACATTTCAACTAACATTTCTTCTTAATACTCAAGTGTTTTTCTAGAAAGAGAGACGTTGATATGGGTGGCAGCCAGGGTGCTGTGGCAAGGAGAGCTGCTCCCACGGCTGGTCCCAGACAAAGGGTGGCTGCCACACAGCTCTGCCCGTCCCACAGCCAGCCATGCTGGAGCAGAGGTGACTGCATCAGCATTGCTTTTACCAGTTCCCGTCTGAATGGGGACTGCCTCTTCCTACCCTGTGTTTCAGCAGCATCCCTGGCATTACTTACTGTCCGCAGGCTTTGGGTGCATCAGGATGACAGGCAGCTCGACACCAACGTCACTGGAAGGAAAAGCACTTCTTTCAATAAACCTGCCCAGCACCTCACCGTGCTCAGCCCTGCAGGCAGCTCCCCCCTTACCTGGAAGTGAGATCCCCCAGGATGCTGTGGCAGCAGGAGAGAGGGGACAGAAATCAGCCAAGGTAGAGAAGGGGAGGTGTTAGACTTTGCTTTATAATAAAGTAGAAGATGATATATAATAGGGGTGAAGGGCAGTGGTGGTGGGGCTGGAGGGATGGGAGTCAAGAGAGCAGCCCAGTGCCTGGCTGCCTCACGGCACGGGAGAGCAGGGCAGGAATGAGGGGGCCCATGGCATGAGTCCCTTTGACATTTGCCCGGTGGTACAAGATCCCACAGCACGGCCCAAGGGGACAGTCCATACCCCCGCGCCCACAGAGCCTCACCCTCCTCGAGACACCACCAGGTTGACCTTCACTTTGTAGGACACCAGGATGCCCAGCACCTCCTTGTCCATGCCGGGTCTCAGGCTAGGATAAAGTCAGAGCAGAGTGATGAGGCAGGCAGTGACACTCGCAGACCCTGTCTGCTCCCCCCACGGCAGCTCCTGGGGCTCTCTCTGTGCCCCATTTCATGTGGGGTGCACTGGGATTTAACAGGAGAGGACAACACAATGTGGCAGTAAAAGAGAGGGGAAGGCAGGTTACTTGGCTGAAGCCACAGAGCAGCTTCTGGAGGCCACTTGAGCTGCCTGAGTTGGAATTTACTGCCAAGACAAGACCCGATGCAGCTCTGCAGAGGGATACAGGGGCTTTGGATGATGGTTGTGAATGGGAGGCTACATCTCTCCTACAAGATGGAGAGGTGGGCCTGTGGCTATGTGACAAAATGCCTACATTTTCCAGCTGGATGGGGTGGGCTCAAGCACAGGAGGTGTTAGGGACCCTTGGTGGGAGCCCATCCTGAACAGTGGGAAGCTGTCGGAATGGGGTGAAGGCATGGGTCCAGCTGTGGCAGGGAGCAGTGGGAGCCCGCCCAGCTCTTACATGGTGGTGGAAGCCAGGTTGGTGTCCTCGTGCTTGAGCTTGCCATCGAGAGCGAGGCCTCGCTTCTCACGGTTGGCTGAGAGCG